TAGCAAGACAAAAATCTACCTTAACTCTCTACCACCAAAGCAGAATTACATTTGAATGGTCTTATTGACAGCAGTTGCTATGGGACAAACCTGAGCAAAAGTCCCCTTGCGTTGCAGAACTTTTTGAGACTTCTTCCACTACCATAGTATAATGTTTTTTTGGCTTTTTTTTTTTTTTTTTTTTTTTTTACACTAAGCCTCAATATTGAAGTTAAATAGAAAAATGAATGTGGAGACAAATCCAGTTCCCTCTTACAGATAATGAGCATGTACAACTATTGTGCATGACCCCACAAACTCGAGACACTACAGGGTGTTGCAAAAGTCTCCATATGTAGGAAAAAACTCATATACAGTATATATTTTTATACTTTCAAATATACCCTAAAAGAATACCTCGGTCAAAAGAGTATTTAGTAAAATCTTTGCACATTTGACTAGAATTTCCCCTGGTGACTTTTGGGACAGCCTGTAGTAGCCAGCAACCGCTGTAGGTCCCCATATATCCGAGGCAAGTCAGTCCAAAAAGCAATAATGTGTTGATCTCACCTGCAGTTTATATGAGAATAGTGAAATGTTGGTTAATATGGGTCAGGTACCATCTAACCTCATCCTAACAGTGTGGGCATATAAGCTTCAGAAAACACAATTCACTGGACTTTTGAGTTCTGCTTCAACACAGGAAAAGATTTGGTGTGTTGCATTAATTATGCAGGAGTTTTTTGGTACACATTGGACCGAAAGTCTGTTCCATCAACCATCTTCTCAACCAGAAAAGGTCACCACAACTAGATCAGCTGCTTATGGTCAGATCATGAAACTATTGCACAGTAGCTCTGGGCAGTATGCGACCTCTACAGACAACCCCACATTTGCCCAAAATATTATATATAATTTTATTTATGTGAAATCTAGCTCACACTGTGGCCAACTTGGGTAAATATGGTTAAAGCCATTTGTTCCTAAATAATATTCTTCCATCTCCAGTCTGAACATCTTAATGCTTTAATTTTTACATTGGGTTAAACATGATAAAATATTCAAATTTGGTGGCTTGATAGCTGACACCCGTGTACCATACCCCTATAGAGACAGACTAAATTGGGTAAGAGGTACTCAATTATACTCCAAGCATAAAGCCAAACACCAATGCAGAGTGGGAAAATAGGATAGAATAAATGGAGTCTCCAAATGGAACTGAGAGGGGGGGGAATTTGAGTGGGAGTCCTGTTACAGGGGATAATTTAATTCTGATGGGAGATGTTGACTCTTGTTCCAAAAGGAGCCAAGGTTTAATCAGTTATATAATGGTTAACTTACTCTCAAACACTCCAGACTGATCTTGAGAAAACTGAAACAGCTCAGCTGCTGAAAAATATGGGTCTTTTCACTGTACAATCTATTCCCCCATCACCAAGCATATGATATGTAAGGTAGTTGCCTTGGGTTCAAATTTATATCTCCAACAGCTCCCAATGAGATACTGCCCATTTCAACAGGACATGGAAAGGCAGTAGAGGCAGCTGCTTTGGGTGCAAAGAATGTATATCTCAAACAGCTCGCAATTGTTCAAGGGGACATGGAAGACTGGTTAGGTCAAGACCCCCATGCCAAACTGGTACAGACAGCACGGCTGGAGAGTTCCACATTTTTTATGTTCTGTCTGGTTTGTTCAATAACCCTACAGATAATGGGTGACCTGATCCACCTGAACAGTGCAAAGTCTGTTAGACAATCATTTTACTTGCACAAGTCAATTAGAGTGATTCATACAAGGATCGGTTGGAGGAATATCTGTACACAGGTAAAGAAAATCATTTACATTAACCATTTCTAATACATAAAGGCAATACATTTATTAGAATAAACCCACAAAGACTAAAATTTCTTCATTTCAATAAACACCATTGATTTATTCTGTATAAAAAAAAAAAAAGCTACAACTAAACTTTTATAAAAAGTTTAGCATGATTAAATTCTTATTACACATTTTGCAGAAATAAAAATCTCTGCCACTGTACAAGGGAGGGGAAAAGACGTGGAATGTTAAAGAGTTCACAATTTTCTTATTTATTAATCTATATACAAACATTTTCATTTCAGTCCCGGAGGGGACATCTGATCCCATACAACTTTAACTCCTGTCCACATTGCCTGATGCTTCACCTTTTATTAAATAAAAAGGCATTAAAATAGCTGTTGGTAAAGTGGCAAATCCCTTGTGGTAACAACTTTTTTAGCTTCCACTCCCCATTGCAGGAGAGAATAGTAGATTTCAAGCCTTCCCTGTGTTAGGAAAGGTGAATTAAAGTCTTTCATAAATAAGCAGTCCAAAGCTTGGCTGGGAACAAAATAAAAAAAAAAAAATTTATTTCAGGGGGGATAAAAAAAAAATAAAATGAATAAAAACTGGATGCGAGTCCCTTTTCATAGCCACACGGATCCCCCCTCTTCCACAAGCTTCTGTACAAATGCAGTACTCAAATAATGAAATAGAGAAGTCTTGTAGCCATGTTGTGCAAAGAAAAACAGTCAATCGGAACACCTGCAAGAGATTGAGAAGGAGGCCTTTAGTGGAAGCGATCAGGAGACAGACTGGCGCCAGTGAGGAAGCCACACTGAACATTTAACCAAACACTCACTGGGGGCGAACCCAGTCCTCCAGATGTACACAGGAGCTGGGGATTAACCCTTCCCACGCTACAGGCAACTTCACCCACACTGCTATGTCACATGCTAGACCCCACACATCTCCGATCAACCCATCAGACTTACTAGAGCATTAGTCTACAGATCTTGTACAACCGATACTCCTGTAGAATCAGCACAAATTCAGAGGGGAAGCAAAAGCATGTTTCCTTTCACTGCAAGCTTTTGGGCTAAAAGAGGGACACAGTTGGCATAAACAATGACCAGGGCAGGTGGCTAGGCACAGCACTTATTATAAGGAACAGTCTAAGATGGAATGAAATCAAGGCAGGCTTCTGGGTATAGCACTGGTTATTAAGGACAGAGCATACTAATGAATAAGACTAGTACAGGCTGCCAGGCACAGCACAGGTAACTGGGAGATGATGGGAATAAAAATAAATAACTTGGGCAGACTGCAAAGCACAGGTTAAATAACATAGGATGAGGGGAGAAAAAAAAAAAATGTTTAAGCCATTCTCTCCTTGGATCCAAGCATGCAGGCGCCAGTCTACTGCTTGCATCAATTATTTGATTAAATGCAGCCACTTAGACGTGATGGCAGGAGCCCACAAACATTTTAGGCATTAGGGTAGACTTACTCTGCCTGAGGCAGAAAGATGAACTGCTCAAACTGAATGGGAAGTATAAACTGGACATTCAGCTATGACAACACATCCAACATAGCATTCAGTAACCTAGTAGATCTTTCAGAGTATGGGAATAGCACCTTGAGATTTACAGCACACCCGATTAGAAAGTTCAGTATCCTAATAGTGCAGCCATTCTCAGCCTGGGTTCAATGGAACCCTTAGGGTTTCTTGGGCTATAACCGACCTCAGAATAGTTTGGGGGCCCTATGCCACTTGGTTGAGCCAGCTACATCTCACCAGTTGTGTATATAGCCATCTGTAAAAGGTGCATGCTACCCACTGACCACACAACCGCAAGGGGGCATTCTCACCAGTGTCCCACTGACTACCAACTGTAAGTGGCATTCTTCCCACTAACCACCAAGGTAAGGAGCATTCTTCCCCATTGCCCACCCAAAGGGGGGGATGTTCTTCCCACGGACTACAAATGTGAGCTGAAGTCTCACCAACGACCACCCAATCAAAGGTGGGCATTCTCCCTAACAACCACCAATTATAAGGTGCATTCTTCCCACTGACCACCAAGGTAAGTAGCATTCTTCCTCATTGACCACCCAAAGGGGATGTTCTTCCCACTGACCACAAATGTGAGCTGCAGTCTGACCACCCATCTGAAAGGGGTTGTCTCACCAACAACCACCCAACTGAAGGTGGGCATTCTCCCTAACAACCACCAATGTAAAGGTGCATTCTTCCCACTGAATACCCCCAACCACTGAAGGGGATGTTCTTCCCACTGACCACAAATGTAAGGAGCTGCAGTCTGACCACCCATCTGAAAGGGGTTGTCTCACCAACAACCACCCAACTGAAGGTGGGCATTCTCCCTAACAACCACCAATGTAAGGAGCAATCTTCCCCACTGAATACCCCCAACTGAAGGGGACATTCTTCCCACTGACCACCAAGGTAAGGAGCATTCTGACCACCCATCTGAAAGGGGCCATCTCACCAACGACCACCCAACTGAAGGTGTGCATTCTCCCTAACAACCACCAATGTAAGGAGCATTCTTCCCCACTGAAGACCCCCAACTGAAGGGGACATTCTTCCCACTGACCACCAATGTAAGGAGCATTCTTCCTCATTGACCACCCAAAGGGGATGTTCTCCCCACAGATGTGAGGTGCATTCTGACCACTGATCCGAAATGGGCAGTCTCACCAACGACAACCCAACTGAAGGTAGGCATTCTTCCTAACAACCACCATTGTAAGGAGCATTCTTCCCCTTTGACCACCAAAAGGGGATATTCTTCCCACTGACCACTAATGTGAGGAGCATTCTCACCAAACGACCATGTTCTTCCCACCAATGACCACCCAACTGAAGGAGGGGGTGTTCTCAAACGACAGTCCAACCAAACGAGCATTCTCACCAATGCAAAAAGGCATGCTTCCAAATGACCCCCAATTAATCCACTTTTAGCAGGAGATCCCCCCCAAGACCTGAAGAGGATTTAAGGTTCCCCTGGGGTAAAACTGTTGTACTAGAAGGTTCAGATTGACCGCAGAACCCAACAGAACCGTGAGTATGTCAATAGATGGTTCTTTATTGTGATGGAACGTGGAGTATCCTCCCCAGGGAGAGTGATCATCCCTCCCCAGCCCCACACACACTCTGCCAGAGACCACACCACACATTAGACACTCACCATTTTTAAGGACAAAGAGCTTTGCTGTCATTCGTGATAAACTCTGCCGATAAATCAGACGCCTGCAAGAGAAAACAAGCACGTGTAAGTAGATGGGAGCCAAGAGAGGCTGACAGTGTGCTAGAAGAGGGGGAGGGGAGCACATACACAAAGCAGCAGGGGAAGGAGGAGGAGAGAAGACACCTGGCCATGGGGGTATAGGGGATGGGGTACAAGTGTGCAGTCCAGATGGAGGAGAGGCAGGACAATGATGGAGCACCATGGGGTGGGGAGCATGCACAGTCCTGGGGGTCGGATCCCCGTACCTGCAGTGTCAGGATGCTGATGTCTGTGTTGAGGGTGGTGAGTGGGGTCCTGGTGGTGGAGGAGGTGCCCATCCTCGGGTGGTGCAGACTGACGATGCTGGGGTGGGAGTCCAGGGCGATCTGCAGGTCCAGGATGTAATCGATGACATGCTGGAGGATTTCCATCTTGCTGACTTTCTTGTTCTGGGGGATGCTGGGCACCAGCTCCTTCAGCTTGGAGTAGCAGTCGTTCATGTTGTACAGAAGGCTCATCGGATCGTCCACCGGGGTTTTGCTCCGGGAGATGCCCAGGCTGTGCTCCGTTAGGCTGCCTTTCCTGACGGATCGGACGGGGCTGAAAGCTTTCATAGTGCCGGCGGTATAGACAGAGGTTCCCCCACACACACAGAGACGACGAGCGCTCAGCGGTCCCTCTGCGGTCTCACACTCCCTATACTCCGCTATTGATTAGCTCAGAATGAGCTGCAGGATGCTCGGCATTCACTTATATACCTCAGAGCGAGGCGGCTGACAGGTGGGCGGGACACAGCTTTCTGGTTGGCTAGAAGGAACGGTGGTGATTTGTGATTGGAAGGGGATTAGACTCACGGAATGCGAATCCCTTCCGCGTTCTAAACCAATTAAGGGCAGCGGGGGGCGTGTCCGTGAGATCACAGCTGTGCTAGTAAATAACCTGCGATGGATTCACACTGTCAGAGCGCAGAGTGCAGGCATGACATGGGAGAGGACATGGGAGGGGACATGGGAGAGGACATGGGGGGGGGGACATGGGAGAAGACATGGGGGGTGCAGGCACATGGGAGAGGACATGGGGGGGGGTAGTGCAGGCATGACATGGGAGAGGACATGGGACAGGGTATGGGGGGAGTGCAGGCATGACATGGGAGAGGACATGGGACAGGGTATGGGGGGGAGGAGTGCAGGCATGACATGGGAGAGGACATGGGACGGAGTGCAGGCATGACATGGGAGAGGACATGGGACAGGGTATGGGGGGGGGAGTGCAGGCATGACATGGGAGGACATGGGACAGGACATGGGACAGGGTATGGGGGGGAGTGCAGGCATGACATGGGAGAGGACATGGGACAGGGTATGGGGGGGAAGTGCAGGCATGGGACATGGGGGCATGACAGAGGACATGGGACGGAGTGCAGGCATGACATGGGAGAGGACATGGGACAGGGTATGGGGGGGAAGTGCAGGCATGACATGGGAGAGGACATGGGACGGAGTGGGGGCATGCACATGACATGGGAGAGGACATGGGACAGGGTATGGGGGGGGAGTGCAGGCATGACATGGGAGGGGACAGGGTATGGGGGGGAGTGCACATGGGACATGACATGGGACAGGACATGGGACAGGGTATGGGGGGGAGTGCAGGCATGACATGGGAGAGGACATGGGAGAGGACAAGGGGGGGAGTGCAGGCATGACATGGGAGAGGACATGGGACGGAGTGCAGGCATGACATGGGAGAGGACATGGGACAGGGTATGGGGGGGGAGTGCAGGCATGACATGGGAGAGGACATGGGACAGGGTATGGGGGGGAGTGCAGGCATGACATGGGACAGGACATGGGACAGGGTATGGGGGGGAGTGCAGGCATGACATGGGAGAGGACATGGGACAGGGTATGGGGGGGGAGTGCAGGCATGACATGGGACAGGACATGGGACAGGGTATGGGGGGGAGTGCAGGCATGACATGGGACAGGGTATGGGGGGGAGTGCAGGCATGACATGGGAGAGGACATGGGACAGGGTATGGGGGGGAGTGCAGGCATGACATGGGAGAGGGACATGGGACAGGGTATGGGGGGGAGTGCAGGCATGACATGGGAGAGGACATGGGACAGGTATGGGGGGGAGTGCAGGCATGACATGGGAGAGGACATGGGGGGGAGTGCAGGCATGACATGGGAGAGGACATGGGACAGGGTATGGGGGGGAGTGCAGGCATGACATGGGAGAGGACATGGGGGGGAGTGCAGGCATGACATGGGAGAGGACATGGGGGGGACATGGGAGAGGACAAGGGGGGGAGTGCAGGCATGACATGGGACAGGACATGGGGGGGGGAGTGCAGGCATGACATGGGAGAGGGGGGGGGACATGGGAGAGGAGAAGGGGGGGAGTGCAGGCATGACATGGGAGAGGACATGGGACAGGGTATGGGGGGGAGTGCAGGCATGACATGGGAGAGGACATGGGGGGGAGTGCAGGCATGACATGGGAGAGGACATGGGACAGGGTATGGGGGGGAGTGCAGGCATGACATGGGAGAGGACATGGGGGGGAGTGCAGGCATGACATGGGACAGGACATGGGGGGGAGTGCAGGCATGACATGGGACAGGACATGGGGGGGAGTGCAGGCATGACATGGGAGAGGACATACAGGGGAGTGCAGGCATGACATGGGACAGGACATGGGGGAGACATGGGAGAGGACATAGGGGGAGTGCAGGCATGACATGGGGGGGACATGGGAGAGGACGTAGGGGGGAGTGCAGGCATGACATGGGGGGGACATGGGACAGGACATAGAGGGGGGTGCAGGCATGACATGGGATGGGACAGGACATGGGGGGGGGGGGTGAGTGCAGGCATGACATGGGGGGGGACATGGGAGAGGACATAGGGGGGAGTGCAGGCATGATGTGGGACAGGACATGGGGGGGATTGCAGGCAGGACATGGGGGGGGGGGATTGCAGGCATGACATGGGACAGGACATGGTGGGGATATGGGGGAGGACATAGGGGGGAGTGCAGGCATGATATGGGAGAGGACATGGGGGGGGAGTGCAGGCATGACATGAGAGGACATGGGAGAGGACATAAGGGCAGGCATGACATGGGAGAAGACATGGGGGGGACATGGGAGAGGACATAGGGGGGAGTGCAGGCATGACATGGGAGAGGACATGGGGGGGGGGGACATGGGAGAGGACATGGGGGGGGAGTGCAGGCATGACATGGGAGAGGACATGGGGGGGAGTGCAGGCATGACATGGGAGAGGACATGGTGGGACATAGGAGAAGACATGGGGGGAGTGCAGGCATGACATGGGAGAGGACATGGGGGGAGAGTGCAGGCATGACATGGGAGAGGACATGGAGGAGGACATGGAGGGAGTGCAGGCATGACATGGGACAGGACATGGGGGGACATGGAGGAGGACATGGGGGGAGTGCAGGCATGACATGGGAGAGGACATGGGGGGACATGGGAGAGGACATGGGGGGGAGTGCAGGCATGACATGGGAGAGGACATGGGGGGACATGGAGGACATGAAGTGCAGGCATGACATGGGACAGGACATGGGGGGACATGAAGGAGGACATAGGAAAGGACATAGGGGGAGTACAGGCATGACATAGAGGAGGATATAGAGGGACATAGAGCATAATATGGGGGGAGTGCAGGCATGACATAGAGATGATATTGGGGGTGTGCAGGCATGACATAGAGAGGATATTGGGGGTGTGCAGGCATGACATAGAGAGGACATGGGGGGAGAGAAGTCATGACATAGAGAGGATGGGGGGGAGGGGGGTTGGCAGGCATGACATAGAAAGGAAATGGGGGGAGTGCAGGAATGACCTAGAGAGGGGCATGGGGGGAGGGGGAGGGCAGGCATGACATGGAGGAGGATATGGGGGGACATGGAGGAGGACATGGGGGGAGTGCAGTGTAGGGGGGATATGGGGGAGTACAGGCATGACATAGAGGAGGATATAGAGGGACATAGAGGAAGATATGGGGGGAGTGCAGGCATGACATAGTGAGGATGTGAGGTAGTGCAGGCATGACATAGAGAAGATATGGGGGACTGCAACCATGACATAGAGAGGATATGGGGGGGGCATGCAGGCATAACATAGAGGAGGACAAGGGGGGGAGCAGGCATGACATAAAGAGGACAGGGGGGGAGGGGGGTTGGCAGGCATGACATAGAAAGGAAATGGAAGTGCAGGAATGACCTAGAGAGGGATGTGGGGGGAGGGGTGAGGGGGTGCAGGCATGACATAAGACATGGGACGGGGGGGGGAGCAGGCATGACATAGAATGCATGACATTGGGGAGTGCAGGCATGACATAGGGGGAATGCAGTCATAACATAGAGATGGACATTGGGGAGTGCAGGCGTGACATAGAGAGGGACATTGGGGACTGCAGGCATGACATGGGAGGGGGGGGGGTGCAGGCATGACATAGAGCAGGAAATAGAAGAAGACATAGAGGATGGGGATGGAGGAATGACATAGAGGACATGGCAATGGAGGAGAGCAGAGACTGCAAGCATGACATACAAGACATGGCAATGGGGGGAGAGCGGAGGTTGCAAGCATGACATACAATACACATTAATGGGGAGAGCAGGGACTACAAAACATGCAATGGATGGGTAGGGGGGACAATAATGTGATCCAAGTGACCAGCCAGTATTCTGAACCTGGACAGACTACAGTTACATACCCACAGATGATAATCTGCAAGTCCCATTTTAGTTTGGTTGATTTACTACTAGATATTGATAGATCAGAAGTTTGCTTTTTTCTTGTAAGCTTCTTACAAAATGAAAAGCTGACCAAACGTTGTGAGATCATTAAGGGACACAAAGAATGTTTTTTGTATATTTTGGAAATATAGACGTGCATTGGGGTTGCTGGCTGTGAGTGATTAGGAAGTGAATGCTGGCTCCCGAATGCAAGATGGCAGCACAACCAGAGGAATCAGGTGCAGGGAAGACAGCTCTGGACTTCATGGCCTGGTAAGTATCTAAAGTCAGCAGCTACAGTACTTGCAATTTCCTGTAGCCAGGACTGATTTCATGCCAATTGTGAATCTGGATTTTGGGCTGACCACAGACGGTGCGTAGTCTCCCTGATAGGAATGGGGTGTTTAGGAAGCTATCTTCATTTGCATTGGTGGAACAAGGAGAATGACCCCATCATTGTTGACTAAATGTGGTACATATGCAGTAAGAAGTTTGATCCTTTTTTTTTTTTCAATATGTTTTTATTTTGTTTTAAAGAGAGGTACAAATACAGTTTACAAATTGATGCCCAAAAGCTGAGCAACCAGTATACCAACAAAAGAGTCATCATAACAAAAATGGTACAAACAGCAAAATGGCATGGTCAATGATTGGTCAATATAGCAAAACAGCGAGGGAGATTTTGGCCATAAGGCTGATAATATTCATTGACCTGGATGACCATCATGGCATCAATCCAGTAATGGAGGATTAGGTTTCATTTGGAAGAGGAAAAGAGGGGAGAAGGAGGAGAAGAGCGGGAGGGTGTGATGCAGGGAGTGTCCATCCAACTGGAAGG